TTACTAGATTAAGAGAATCTTGGCACAATTGTACAATATAAAAATTTATTCAAATTCTTGGTCCTTAGATTTATTTTTATAATTAAACGATTTAAAGTTCGGAGATTAAACGTATATGCTATAAGGTATTTACGTACAGTACGTACGTACGTACGTACGTATGTAGTGTACGTACACACGTATCAGATGCTACTACTGTACCAATAATTATTACAAAAATGATTCACGATCACTATAAATGTTTCACAACACATTATAATTGGTTGCTCAAAATCTTTGATCGACTGGCATTATGCATATTCCTGTACTCATTTTAAAAAACCTTTGTCAGTATCATATAAAATTCATTAAATTCAATGTGTTAGTTATTAGAAAGTTATTTAGAAATTCATTTATGCCAATTTTTTAGTCATCAAACACCAGTATTGGTACCATTTATTGACTCCTGAGTTCTGTGGCACATAAATCTGTTTCCGCTAAAAAAATTTATTCTTTTTAAGTATTCGATATGAATTATTGCTTTTAAAAATATATTTTCTACATAAGCAGATTTATGCATTGTAAATTCAAATACATAATTCGTGTGTTTAGGTTTTATATTTATTTTTATAATGGGTTTCTAGTTAATGTACATGTATTCTGAAACGTTTTTTTTATAATATATACTGCATTAATGTTAGGCCATCATTTTATGATAGCAAATTTAGGACATGAATATTTTTATACCTGGTATAGCAATAGTGATTGCCCATAAATTGAACCTTAGTGAAAATTGGGCGTTACTTTTGCTGGTGACTATATATGTTAGTATATATGTACATATAACGTAATCTGTTAAAAATAGATTAGCGCTGCATGCGGATTTGGACGGACTTTCCATGAATATGCTAATTTGACAGTATCTTAATGCGCGTCTCTCTTAATTATATATTAATATCACTATATACTAATGTCTAGGAATTTTTACTAATTATTCAAATTATTTATTATAATCATGCTTACGGGTCATTATTTGCTGTAATACAATAAGAGATAAAATCATGATGATCATGATCATAAGTATCTGCCTGATACTTTAATTTGTTTAATTATCCGGATTATTCATCTATTTATTTGTAAGTGGATCTCTCATCAACAAACAGTCATAAAGAAAAAAAATCAGAGATACTATTGTATATACATAAGTATATATGGGCTAGGTGCTGAGAAAAGGGACCAAATTGACAAAACAAAAGATCTTCGGAAAATCAATTTTTATGTTGTAGATCTTATAATAAATCATAAGAAAATGCAAACTTTAAAGAGCAATATAGCAAAATTTTATTAATACAACTACTTTTGTGTCTTAAATAAGAAATGATCCTAATCTTATTCTAAATCAATTTATGTAAAAAAATAGCTTTTGAAAAAATTGTCAATTTGGTCCCTTTTTCCAGCACTTAGCCCATATATATTTGTCTCAAGATAAGTCATTCAATATTGTAAATCCTTATCAGAATCGGTAAATAATCGGTAGAATTAACTTTTAAAATATGCAAAGGAATATTATCGTTAACGTAAGAAATCAATATAAAATGATGGGGAAAACTGGATTGATTCCTATACAAATCAAAACTATTATTATTTACTTCCTTTGACTTATCATATCAAAAATGGATTACTACTTCATCACATTTGTTGTATTGATTAGCTACGCTTTGTACAAGTATTATATTTATCCTTTATATTTGTCTCCATTACATAAAATCCCTGGTCCACCTGCTAGTAATATCATTCTTGGACATTATGCCACTTTATTAAATAAAGAGTTAGGCGAAGTTTTTTCTTATTTAGCAAAACAATATGGTGGGATAGTTCGATATCATGGTTTATTTAACAAACTATATTTATTGATTTCTGATTCAACAATTGTCCAACAAGTGATGGTAAATCGTTCTTATGATTATCCAAAGTACTTTTTCAATAGAAACATGGTTAAAGAATTTTTTGGTGAAGGTCTTTTACTTGCTGAGGGTGATTCTCATAAACAACAAAGAAAAATGATGAATCCTTCATTTGCTTTTGCCAATGTCAAGGTATTCTTTCACGATCATCAACGTTAAATAACTATTAAAAAAGCAATTCATTATAATTACAGTATATTAATTATTTTAATTATTATGACTTATTTAATTTTAAGGAAATGGTTCCAACATTTGTTCAAGCTGGCCATAGATTAAAAGATCTCTGGATGAAACAAGTTGGTGATAATAAAGAGGAAGGAATTACGATCACTGCATTAATTTCAAAGATTACTTTAGATGTCATTGGTCTTGTTGGTATGCATTAGCCTGTTTTCATTCTACAATTTAGATTATACTAATGATATTTTTAATCGTAATCATATTATAACCACATTATTTAAATAGGATTTAATTACAAGTTCAATTTTACTTCTTCAGAGTCTGAACTAGCTAATGCATATAAAGCATTAGTTAATCGTAATCCATTACCTTTATACACAGCTCTTGAAGAACTATTTCTATTCATAATGAAACTCCTAATTCCTTATTATTAAGAATGGTTTGATTCTATAAAAACTATCAGAAATATTTCTGAAGATTTAATTGCTGACCAAAAAAATGCCACTGTTCAAGGAAAAGATTTATTGTCTTTATTGGTAAAAGAAAATGAAACTTTGCTTGTTAATGAGCAATTGACACACGAGGAATTACTTAATCAGATAAAAATTTATTAAAATATAATATTTTATATATATTTTTATTAAATTTTATTTAAATCATATAAATCTATTAAATTTCAAGGTTATGACATTACTCTTAGCCGGACATGAAACCACTAGTACTGCATTATCTTGGGCGTTATACTTCTTCGCACAAAATCCTGATGTTCAGGATCGTCTTCGTAAAGAAGTTCTTGAAGTATTTACTGATTGTAATCATTTTCCAACTTTTGAAGAAATTAATTGTATGAAATATTTAGAAAGTGTCTTTAAGGATCATTCTACCTGGTATAGTTCAATATCCTTTTTAATTTTTTTTTCAATTTAATCGATTTATTTGTCTCTAATTTATTTTTACTCTTTTTATGATCTAAAGTACCTGGACTCATTCGTTATAATTCGAATAATGAAGTTATAAATGATTATGTAGTTCCAAAGGTATTTTCTAAATTTCTTTTCATATTTCAATTTATTTGGTAATTACATTATATATATAACTTTGAAATTTTTCATTTAGGGAACTCCATTAATTATTGCTATTTACTCAATTCATCATGATCCCTTGATTTGGGGTGAAGATGCTGAACATTATAATCCATCTCGATGGCTTGATCCTGAAATAAAATCAAGAGTATCAAGTAGTAATTTCTTACCTTTTAGTGCTGGTCCAAAAAATTGTTTAGGAATAAAAATGGCTCATTTAGAACTTAAATCTATCCTAGCTGTAATAATTAGAAATTTTGAATTTAGATTAGTTGAAGGTTATACTTTTGAAAAGAAACTTGTTGGTTTATCTAAAGCTATTCCTGGAATTGATTTATGGGTTTCGAAAGTGAATTGTTAATTCTTTTTTTGATATAAGTTATTTGTTTTAAAACTATTGAGATTTTTATGCCTATAAACTTGTTTCATCAATTAAATCATTTTATTGTAAATTAGATTCGTTTTTCTTTTCTGTTTTATTTCATCATGTATATTCTTTATCAAATAAACTTACTTTTGAATCAATAACTAAATGTAACATGTTGTTTCGCTGACGATTTAATGTAGTTTTCAAAATAATGAATCTTCTTGATCAAATTTTTGTAACGTACCAAATATATAATATTTATAATCAGATTATTGTATATATATGTATACGATCAAGTTTTGATTATTAAAGATAATCGAATTAATTTAGCAGCATCTCAATCACTAACACGTGGATTAGTAGCATGGGATCAGGTTCGGGTTCGTGTAACCTATGTGTGGCTGTAATATAAATAGAACAATAGTTTGAAAAGTCTTTAGTAGTTTCGTTAGTAGTAGATTTTAGTAGTCTTAGAACTTGAACAAAGAAACGTTAAAACCGTAAACTGTGTTTGTACATGGTATTCCCTTGGGTGGAAATACTGTATCTGAACAATACATCAGTCAGTCACCTATGTGACACTTTGTCCAAACGTGTCTATTGACAATACTGGGAATACCGACTCGAGGTTGCTCTCAAGCATCTTGACTATAGGTGCAGAAAGAATTACGTCACTAGGTATGCCTATAGATGGGTGTCTAAATTATTTTTCCATTGGCGTAAACTTAAATGGCTAAATTATTTTAGATTGCCTAAATCGTAAATAATTCATGTTGTCGAATATATTTTAGGGTGTCTAAAATATTTTAGTATGTCTAAAATATTTTCGCCAGTCTAAAATATTTGAATAATGAAAATTAAATATTCTTACAGTTTAGTATATTAAAAACCCATTAAATTACATTGCGATAAACTTCAAAATCTGACTAACATATAAATATTAATTTTTGGCTAAGATAATCAATATTCTCCAGGTTAAAGTTCGTATTTATAACAAATTTATATGTGCATTGAAATGCATTAAGAATAGGGAAAATGGGCTATTCTACTAAGAAAATATTCAAAAGTTTTCCCGGGATTTGGCATTGATTTATTAACATGTAATTTGATAATTAAAATTTAAATTTGGAAACCAAATACTTAAATTTGGTAACCGAATTTTAGCTTTTATTAACTCACTTTGATAGAAAATTAAGTTATCATAAAATTTTAGTTATAACGGTAAAACAATGTTCATATACCGTATATTATTTATATATAATAAATGAAGATACAAGATAAATGAATGTAAAAAATATGTATAACGTTTCATCGTAATAATATATATATGCTAAATGATAGTTACATAAAGCCTAAAAAAAACTTCATACATCCTTACTCATAGATGCATTAATAACTTGATCAATATCATAATCATAATCATCATCTTCAAGTTCTAAATTATTATAAGTCGTTTCATTTGTTTGTTCATCCAAAAATGTGCTGAAATCTAACATTTCTTCAATCTCCAAATTTTCACTATCGAATTGTAAAAGATCATCTAAGTTCTCAGTATCAGAAATATAATCAGCATCAAGCTCTTCATCTTCAATATTATCATTGAACATATCATCATCGAACTCAACCATATTTGCATAATTTTCCATAACTCGTTCAAATTCTGATTCAGGAATTGTGTGATTAATATAATTAAGTTCATTTTGAGCATTAGTTATATAATAAGTATGCAATTTCGCAATATTCGATACTTTCTCTACGGTAATTCTGTTAAAATATAAAATTAAAATAATCGTAAATATTGAAATTAAATGTGTATTACAAAAAAAAAAAAAAAAAAAAAAACAATTTTTGGATTTTTATTTTGTAGTATATATGCAGTTCGAATTTTGCATATCACATCTCGCTTTTACAAAGTTGATTTTGAGAATTAGCGTTATTTTGAAGGTATATGTATAGAAAATCACAATATTTATTTACACAGTGGCTCTCGATATAATGGACCATTGATATAATGGATATTGCTTGGTACGAAGGATTATAATAGAACAAATTATGATTTAATTTAATATTTAATATATTATGAAATTTTGATATTATGGAGCTCTTGATATAACAAAATAAAGAACTGGAACTATGGTCTTCACTATATTGAGAACCACTGTGTATATTGAATTTTTTTGTTAAGAAAACCACTATACAATTCTACGATTGAACAATCAAGTGATTGTACATGTGAGCTGCACAATTCGATCAAATAAATATACACATATATACATATTTATATATGTATATACATACCTGCTTCGTCTTTTTTGTGTGATCCAACTTAGAACTGAGAATATTCTTTCACAGCTTGCGCTGTGTGGAGTAATTGCTAATAAATGTAATGCAAGTTTTTGCAACGGATGATTTGAAAGTTTACACCCATTCCACCAGGTTTGTGGAGTTTCAACTCCTTCCACAAAAGAATAATTATATGGTGGTTCAAATATATCATACATTTTGATTTGTGCTACAAGTAAATTTGCACTTGCTAATCCGCCACCAATTTTTTTCCAAATTTCAAGAGCCGTATGCAAATTTTGATAAAATATTGAATCTTTCATACCTTTTCCTCGATATTTCGGGTGAAGAAAATATGCCAAGAGATAAAATTTTATATCAAATTCTTTCCAACGTTTGTTATAAAATTGAATACATTGCTTACGAAATTCTATACGTTCTAATAAATCATTTTTTTTAAGTGCATTAATAGCCACTGCCATTTGAACAAGAAATAAAAAGATATTAGCAGTTGTAGTAGTTTTAGATTCAACTATTTTAACTGCATTTTTAGCAGGAGATAAAACTTTCGCTAGAACATCAGCATTTGCCCAAAACTGACGGTCTTGTGTAAGATCTCGTAATTCTGGTGTCATAGCAAACTTATCATCATCTAAGATCTAAATTAAATTTTAATATATAAATCTTAAATATAATTTAATATAGAATTATCACAACTCGTCATAATTATAATAAGTTATGGTAAAAAATACTGTAACTTATTATAATTATAACAAGTTATGGTATTGTATTTATATTAAAAATTTTTTTAATAATATTTAAATAACAATTACATACTTGCTTAAAACA